AGGACCTGAACTCAAGGTAAAATTCACACGCACGTGTGTATGGTCACAACATGCTGGGATTGTGAGGTTGCACCTTTGTGACTATGTCACCCAGATCTGCGACCATGATGCACAAACGTCCCGACGTGCAGCGAACTGAGATCTCCTTATAACTCGAATTAACCCGACTTCAATATATGCATGAACCAACCGGCCTGCGGTTGCGCTAAGAACCTGGAACTATTTGAGATGTTTTCCGGGACAACACGGATTGCCTACGAAGGCCGTTCCGGGCTGAGCATCCACACATTTCAGGCTAGTGCTTTGTGTAGGCACTGGCACCTGGCAACAATACCGTCAAATGATATATATGGATCTCAAGCAAGTCTGTACATTAAGGCTGCATTGGGCTCAGAACGTTTGGCCCTTGGAATCTTTTTCAGTACGTGGCCTTTAAAATATTCTAATTGACCAACTCCGGATCCTGGACTGCAGGGATTGGTACGATTATGATTCCCACCGTGGACACATGAACGACATCACCACAGTGCTCTGCCCTCACAGCTATTTTAATGTTGTTCCATCATGAAGACTGCCCTGGCGACTCAGGAGCGGCTTCTTGTACGCGCTCAAGGCAGTGCTGCGCCTATCTCCAGCTTCCCTCCTTTGGGGGGGGTACCATGTTCCCTCCTTGTGTTCATCAGCAGGGGAACAAGCAAACGCAATGTGTATCCCCACGGAATCATGGGAGACCCAGACTCAGAAGTGACAAAGCTCAGCAACCTAGTCCTGAGCCGATTTTGTTTGTTGGTGCTAGTTGCTATCTCGCGCAACGTCTTTTGGGCGATAGAGCAGCCCTCCAGCAGCCTGCTGCCTCAAACGCCTTACTACAGCTACCTGCTGAACTTGTCCCAGCTCAACACGGTCTTCATCCGAATGTCAGCGGCCCTAGAGTTAAGGGATTGAATTTTGGAGTCGATATTTGGATGGCAGGCAACCCACTAGTGTTGACAGGGGATCTAGACATACCTCAACTCAATTGAGGAATAATATACAAAGTCTGGATCTAGTAATTCCACTTAGCTTTTGGGTGTGGACTGCAATCCCTCAACCAGCATGTGCTGGAACCCGGCCTCCCCAATCAAGGTGGATGGGCTTGCTGGGAGCTGTAAGTGCCAAGCCAACTCAACTCTGGGGCTCCTGGCCGCGGCCCCAAAGACCCCACCCTCGGATCCCAGTCAGCCTCTATCGACCGCTGCAGGCCACCCATTGCCACCTTCCGGAACCGAATGACACGAGCTAGGTTGGATCGGCTTAGAGAAAATCAAGAGAGGAAAGGGATCCAGGTTACGAAGAAGCATCTCAAGAAAGGTGCCCGTGGAAAGGCACCCAAACTGAATGTGAAGCTTGATTTAATTAAGGAACGTGTGCATATTACTTGGATCCATTTTGGCTAGGAGGGCTGGACTCATGACATTAACGTGTATAGGTACGTACTATATATGCTAGCTAGTTGAGATTTTGTGTGGTCCATGCCACGTTGGGAACACACTTCAGGACTGGAGGCAGAGACCTCAAAGCCACAAAAGCATATCCTGTGCGCTTTGCAAAGAAGGTTGTCCACCTACAGCAAAGGCAGCAGGCTCGCATACGTACATGTGGGTCTTGTCATATATGTGTCCCCTAGTGTGTGCCCTAAGCAGGTGCACTATACCAACTAGCTGTTTGGCAGGTATTGGAACCTTTGACAGTGGATCCTCATAGCTTACCGCAGCAGGAGCCAACATAAACCCAGCTTCTAGACTAGAGACATCCCTTTCAGATCAGGATTCCTGCCTCGCATTCGCGTGCGCAGGAAGCCCCGAATGGATGGAATGATGCGAACCTGCGGCAGCCCGAGGTGTTTTTGTGGGAACAATATCAAAATGGTTCCTTTACACCACAGTTCAAGCTGACCAAGCCTCGTGCCCGCTAGTTATATCGGTCGAGGTCCTGTTCTAGTCCAAGTAGTCGACACTAGCAATACTTGTTCATGAGTTCGTGGTTCACATGAAGGGCGGGCACAGCCTAATTATCATTTCCCACACAAGATCTTGGTGTGGGTATTGCACCCAAATTTGCAGCAAGCACGATTCAATTCGTTTGAGTGTGCGCTGATCGATATCCTGCTGGGAAAGTGAAAAACACAATGATCGTTATTTGGCAGCCAATGTCCGTGATTTGGCAGCCAATGACCGTTAAATGACAGCCAATGACCGTGATTTGACATGCCAATTTTTTTGAACAATTCTCAACCGGTATGAACTGTTACCTTTTTGATCTCAAGGTCGACTTGTAAGACCCTTTCCAGCCTCAGAGTGCTGGAGAGTGCCACCGGGAGCTCCTAGATATGACACCAGCGCCGGGCCCGGGGGAAGAAGGGGATCAATACGACCCTTTTGATGACAAGATGGTAAAGAAGGCAAAGTGTGAAGCTGAGATATATGTGTCACGTATACGCGCGCTTGTGCATGCTAATTTAAGCTGATAGTGTCGACTAGATCTGAGGTCTTCGAAGCTTAAGGGTGGCGCCTCTTTGAAATCAGGCCATTGTTAAACGTTAGCGCTTGTAGTGACTTCAACCCAATTCGCAAACCTGCAGGAACATCAGTGGAGACTATCCCGGCCACACCGGAGGAAAGACCTACAAAGCGCAAGAAACAAGAAGAGCAATCCGTGCCAGAACCAGCCCCCAAGAAGACAACGTCAGGCACCCCGACCGATGCCGATCAGAAGCTTAATAAGCGTATCCAAGAGAAAGAACCCGAACCTTCGCAGAGGGCAGCAAAAACCCCAAAGGTTGATGCCAGCGCCACAGCTTCTGCAAGCAGCCCTAGCACTAGTGCCAGCAGTAAAGCCAAAGCCACACCACCTCCACCACCTCGTCGGCTACGCAGCAAGTCTGGTGATTCAGATGTAGGGAAGGCAAAGCCCCAGTCCAAAGCCAAAGTCAAACCAGCAGCTACAGAACCTCCTACCAAGCCCGCTGCAAAGACCAAAGCCAAAGCAAAAGCATCAGTCCCTGCAAAGACGGCCCCAACTGACACTGAACCCAAAGCAGCAGCCAAAGCCAAAGCTGCTCCAGGACCCAAAGCAGCAGAAACACCTTCAGCTAGCACTGGCAAGACTGAAAAATCCAAGAAGGCAGCAGAACCAAAGGAGCCCAATCCAAAGACGGCGCCCAAAGCAGCAGGAACAGCAGCAGCAAAAGCAAAGCCCAAAGCAGCACCTTCATTGGGAAGGGATCACGCTGCAGCAGTCCTGAACCGGGTGTCCACATCTGAGATTCCCACTTCAGTGGGTCTCGATGCAGACTTTGAAGACCATGAAATCGACCGTGAACTCACCGACGAACAACAAGCCACCCGGCGCAAACACTATATGCGGTTCGTGCGGAGTCTGCAGAGCCGCCTCCTCAATTCTGTGTGCGTACATATACTTTTTGTATGTTATGCATTTGGGGGGACTCTTATAAGGCAAAAAGACACCGTGGAAGATCAGACAGATGGCAACGCGAGCACGAGCACGTTTCCAGCTTAGCACATGTACATGTATATTTGTATCATGTTGCGGCGCATGTGCACACTAAGGAAAAGACAAAGGCAAAATGTCAGACCTATACGAAGATTTCTTTCAGTCCAAGGGGCAGTGGAAGCGGTCTCGGACATGGTCGAACATAATCCACACAGCTAGACACCGAAGAAGCCTAAAGAAGGTTTGGAAAACAAAGGCTCAACTGTTGATTCAGCATCTAGACTCATATAACCAGATTTGTCTTGTTTTCAGGTTGCTATCTACGGTGTCACTCCAAGCTCCAAGGTATGACAACAACGTTGAACTGGTGGCAGAGCTCATCAACGCCAAGCGTGATTCCGGTCAATGGAGAAATCACCCCGAATTCCCGAAGCGTGAGGACTTCATCTCTTAATATCACCTAGTGTCCCTGTATATATAGAAATGCATGCATATGCTGAAATGATATGGTTCCAGTACTAGTACTAGTGTGTGTGTATGATTGAAACGTTTTAAGTACGTCTCCAGGAGATGGTTCAATACCTGGTATACGAAGAGGAAAGTCAGGTTGAGGAATCAGAAGATGAACAGCAAGATGGGGCAGAGCATCAAGCATCCGATTCCTCATCTTCCGAAGATGAGGTTGAGGAAACACCTGAACCCACCAAGCACCATGGCAAACATGTGCGATATGTAGACGTTAACGTGTGCACAAACAATTTGGGAGGGGAGAGAATCTGCATAATTTGCCAATTAGGCCATCTGGAAAGAAGAACACAAATAAGAAGAAGAAGAACAGGAAGAACAAGAAGGGAAAGAACGCAAAGGAGACTGAAGAAAAAGATCCGAAGAAGAAGCCCAATTCCTTTGGACACAAGAAAGAAAAAGGCCTTAAGCTTAATTCGTATCTCTTCGAATTCGATTGTTCCTTGATTCATTGACACTAAATGGTGGGTCAGATCAGTAGGGGTTAGATCAGTAGGGGTTTGACCACTAGAAAAACAGAAAAACAATGTTTTTTTCATGTTATTTCATTTCAAACCATTTTAAAACAGAATATCTCAATGATAATGTACATGGATGTGGTTAACTCATTTAGATACAGGTGGATTTACGGTGAACTTGCGGTGGGTCACGAAGGATCTAGTCTTAACAGGACGAGGGCACATCGTACACAACGTCGTGTCAGTCATGTCTAACAGCTGACCACAACAGAGCAAAAACGATGACAGCATCCGCTGGATCTGGGTAAGTCCAGGCACCACCTCAGCAGTACAAGACTCATCTTGAAGAGTATCAAAGCTAGAGAGTGAAGTGGCTTAAATTCGAGTACTTTCGAGGCTCTTCATTGAAAATGACAAGTGCATTTGCTGCAATTTCCTTTTTCATCCCACACGCGAGTGTGTGAAAAGCACAGCCCTCTTCGCTGAGCGCACACACTGAGGACCCAAACTAAATTAAGGCCTGGCTCAAGCCCATTCTCTCGTACAAATCTCAGCAACAGCTCTGCCAAATTCCTGTGTATATATTTGGCTCTGCTGCAAAAGATCCTTGCGTCCAGTGAACCCAGACCGAGAGCGACACACCAGGCTTTCAGCCTCAGGCATGTCTGGACGGCCTGTTTCCAAACCACCTATGCATGGCCAAGTCGACCACAGTTCTAGTGGTTTCACTGTAGGCCCATTGTAAGCTCCCATGTACACCTTGTACCTCACGGCATTGGTGAAGAACAGCACTCCCTTCAGCGAGGCGCAAAGGCTCATGACGGAAGTTGTAGGCTGCTCTAAGGTCACATGTATTGACAACAGGTAGCACACGAAGTAGACCAGCGCTGAGCACTCCATTAGGGCGTTTCCATCCTTCACAAACTGGTACGGATCTTCTGGTCCAAGGTATCCGTTCTCAGGCAAACGTGCCGACTGATGGCGGCACATCACAGTGAAGCTGCTACATGGGGTGGCAAGCCAGCACAAACCAAACTTGCGAATACAGCAGACTGAGTCCAGGATAAGTCTGACACCTTGGGATGTGTGAAGGTCATGCGAGGTGCTGTGAACATAGTCGAAGCCGCAGCCTTTCCAGCCAGCCGATAGCATCTCAAAGGTCAGCCAACCTTCTCCACAGAAGACTTCAACAAAGTCCAGCGCATGCCCACTGCATTGAGTTGCTTGGTTTCTGAGACCCCTGAAAACAAGCGCGAGCATCATGTGGACCAGAGGTTTGCAAGCAAGCGCCGGGTAGCACATAGCCAAAATTTGTGGCCAGAGACATGCTGCCTGACCGTTGTTGACGCTTGCATCAGCTGCCAAAAAGTCGTTGATCAAAGTCTCATAGTGCGTCACCAAGTCCGCTTCTGCTGGAAGAAAGCACCTGCACAAGGGAGCAGACGCGCAGACAAACTAGCAACATGTTGTACAAGACACAACGCCACCCAACCCCATGAAGGCCCTACCAAAATTCAACATGAAGGTGCTGGAAACTCTGGTAACAGCTGAGTGAAAACAATTATGTCAAACCTCGGCAAGGACGACCAGGGAAGGAAGTCGTGGAGTTGACATTGGTAAGCTTTTCCAAACATCTGTGTTAAGACTGGGTCTTCGCTAGCGCGAAGCTGGCTCTCAGTCTCATTGACGCCAACCCCAGAACCAGGCGCCACCAAGACCACATTGTGAGGGGCCACTGTTGAACTTCGCTCAGAAACTGCAACATTGTGAGGTGCCACTGAACTTCGCTCAGGCTCAGGTCTGGGTAGCTTTTTCTTCTTGGCTGTCTTGGCCAACTTCAACTTTGAAGCTGACTGCGCCATCATCATGGCCATCGCAACCATGGGAAACCATGCTGCTGCCGGCTGAGGACAGGCAGGACTTGCAAGCCACTTGGGCTGGCATCGTTTGCCTTTCATGGCGCTGGGCTGGCCTATACTATTGGTCGCCAAACTTGGTGTTTCCGTGGGTGATGTCAAAACGTTGTGAGCCGGCTGTTTTCTACACCTTACCATGTGTAAGACATGCGACCACTGACAACATCTGACTGGCTGAGGCCACGTGTGACACCCAAAGACACAAAGCCAAGCTGAAATTCGAATTGAGGTTAAAACATATTAAAAACAAGGGACTCATGGCAACAGCTGAGGGGGGGCATTGAGTGAACGCACAATTTTTCTTTTGCTCGAAAATTGCACAGGCATCAGCCATGTCAGCCAGCCTGATCAGCCTTTTCTTGGAAACTTTACTTTGGCTGGAAGCTTATCCACATCCTTAGCCAGCTTTACAAACAGGCTTTCAGGAATCACTCCTGGCGTTTGCACACGGTCAGGCGGGAGCTCGTACCCTGAGCAAGCAACACTTTGCAAAAACATGGACTCCTTCAGTCAATAGACTGACTAAGCACCGAACAAACAGCGACCGGAACAAGAAACACAAGTCCAAGTCAAGAAACCTTTCTTCTGGTTGTAAGACCTGTACTTGCTCCAGGCTGTTTGATGCACAATCTCCAACATTGTCCTCCAGCTTGAAGCCTGCTTGTAGTCAAATGTTCTGCTGAACGACCTGCAATCAGTCAGCCCGGGAGGCCACTTGGCAGTCCATCTGTGGTCATTGCCTGAGCAGCCACACCACCAAGGGCTTTTGATTGAAGGAGGCAAAAGCAAAAAACAAGGTAGGCTCAGGCTCGCAAAAAGTTGCAACTAACCTTCAACTAACCTTTGAAGCAACATGCAATGCAAGTTGCTGTTGAGGAAAATGCTACACCCAGGCGGTGCCAAGTCTTTCAACGTTTCCGGGCTGTGGTAAAGATTCGGCCCATGCGGTTCGTGCAAAACCCTTGGAGGAACCACACTGTCAGGCAAAACTTCAGACGCAGCATCGCCTTGCGACATGCGAACTGAGTCCTCTGCTGGTGCTTGGTGCGAAGATTGACTGTGAGGAGCGTTGGAAACAACTGACACATCTGACGACACTGCTGGCCCGTGTGGAGCTTCCTCAGATCCAACACCATCGGCCACATCTGGTCCCACTCCAGCGCGCGAGGAGCTGGCGCCCGACCCCACCTCTGCCTCCGGCTTGACGAACACTGCATCGACAAATTCATCGAGAGTGGTGCGATCTGCTGTTGCCTCCATGCTTTGAGCTTTGAGCTGTCTCATGGTTTCTCCTGTTGGCTCGAGCTCAGCATCCTCAGGCTGTCTCATGGGCTCTCCTGCTGTTGGCTCCTCCGGTTCATCATGCTGAGCATCAGCCGCAGGCATGCGGCTGCTTCTCCCTTTGCCTCGCCCTCTCCCTCGGCCTCTACCACCACGTCCTTTGGCGCGACCATGAACATTGAACTTTGATTTTGCCTTGGCTCTCATAGCTTTCAGGGCTTTCTTCTTTTCAGTGGCCTCCATGTCTTCTTGCTTCCACTGAGCCCACTTCCTTTTCTTGTTCAGGTTGCGTTTGTTGTTCACCCGCTTTTTCAGCTCTTTGAAATCATCGGCGTCGGCAGCATCCATGTTGTCTAAGAGAAGTTCAGCTAGTGAATCTTCTGAGCAAGAATCATCTGCCGTTGGATCATCGAGTTTTTTCTTCTTCTTAGTCTCTTCATTGGAAAGAACCTGCTTTGCGAAGTCAGCATCACCAAGTAGCAACGCCAAAGCCTCGACAAGATCTCGCCTCGAGAGCTTGTGTGGATCATTGATTCCAAGCAAGCTTCCTGCAACAAAGACCAAATCAGCAAAAGTCATTTCCAAGGAATGGTTCCTGAGCATCGCTTTGGCAGAGTGCTCCCATGTGTCAGCCGAAACAGAGATGCCAGTTTCAGTCAGGATGGGAGAAGGAATGGCCGACTCATGCTGGTCAATGCGAGTGGTGAAATACCATTCAAGGCTCCCTCTGCGCGTAAGCTTCAAAGACCCATCATCGAATAGCGTCATGGGCCAAACCAGCAGGGCCCATTTGAGGTTGGACACCACAATGAAGATCTTGTCATCCACTTCTGCTCCATCCAAAGTCTGCCGTGGCTTGAAGATCATGCCAGGTCTGAGGAGGATGCATGCCCTAGCATCCTGACACCGAGGTAACAGTTGCAAATGAAAAGTTAGAAGAAACTTACCACACACGCAGAACTAAATAGAAACATAGTAAGTAAGTAAGGTTTTGACAAATGTCATTCAGCTGAATGCCACACTGCTTCAGGTTCTTTGAGACAAAAAGCCGTAACCAAGACCATGCAGCTGCTGACCTTGCCAACGATTCTTCGCTCAGTGAGTACCATGTCTTTGGGGACATGACTCGACTCCAACTTTTGTCAACTCTTTCGTGCCGAGCGAAAAAAGCTGTCATTCTTTTGGCGGTCTTCGTGCGCTTCCAGCGCAGCTTGAATGCCTGCTTGTCCAGTGCACACAGATGAGGAATTCCTCTCGCTTCAAAAAGCCCAGAGTTCTGGAGCACATTTTGGACCTGCGTGGGGGTCTGCTTGCGGTTGGGGTTGTGCAGTGCATCCGACTTCACCTTTCCATGTAGGTCTTCAATGAACTTCGAATCTGGGACACAATGCAGCATTCCGTTCAACAAGCGCTTCCCCTCTGAGCACAGTCCAGCCTCGTAACAAGAAAACATCAGACGTACTGGTGCCGAGACAGTACACTGCAAATCTTTTACCAGCTCCTGGGCAGGTCTAGATTGCTCAGCCAAGCAAAGCAACCTGAAATCTTCTCTCAAGGACATCTCTGTGTCCTCAGCCAGCTCGCCTTCCTGCACAAGCAATGCTGCATAGCATTCAGGCGGAGACGCAAGCTTGGAGTAGGCAGCTGAACGCTTGGACAGCACACTGATGCCATAGTACCAGACTTGATGGACGAAAGTCTCAAGAGAAGAACGGTGTTTGTCCTCATCCAAATGACGTCTGGACAAGGTGTGGTACTGAAGCACTTTGTCAAACTCCGAGTCTTGCCAGAACACATCAACTAAGCCAGTCAACTCGTTGCATTTCATCCACTTCAAATCTGTTGTCATGTCAGCTGTGCGGAGAAGTCCCTGTCTGGGGCTTTTGACTGACTCCACAGTCTGGCTGTAGTAGTTCCAGCAGGGCTGAGATACGATGCGCAGAACTTGGACACCCATCCATGTTGACCAGCTTGTGCAGTGCAGGGCTAGTTGGAGGCCTCCCATGTCTGATCTCAGCTGGCTGAACTTTTTGGAGCTTGCGTCAGGCTGACCATCTGGATATCTGTGGAGGAGGAGAAGCCGGGTGGAAAAAAACTCCGAGACGTGCTCAGCACACGCCCCATGCCAGCTGAACCAGCGCCCCGACTTCACGGGGCTGCCCTTGTTTGAACATGAATGCAGCTCACACAGTCTCTGGAACAACTGAGTAACATCAGACGGGCTGTTTATGGGCATCCCATAATCCAAGCTGATCAGGTCAGCGTACTCAGTGAACAATGGCCCGTCCTGGCACACTCCAAAAAAACACAGAAACCCCAACACACCAGGAAAGCATGTGAACTTCAACAGCAAAACTCTGGATGTCCCATCAACCCCTAAACCCAATCAGTCCTCAAACTCCGAGGCAAGGAAGTGCTCAAGAAGCTCTGTCTTGGCCTGGGCAAAGCCTCCAGAGCCATAGGGGCGATAGTTCAAGGTCCACAGATAACTGGAAGACAACTGACACTGGTGCAGCTTCTGCCGCAAGGCCTTTGGGCCAACACCAGCAACATCAAGCTTCATGTCTCTGATCACGCGATGGAAGGGATCGAACGATATGTGAATAAGGTTGACCCCACAGAAGTGGATGAAACTACTCATACCCATGCCAATGGGTCCTTGGTCCATGAGCAGCACCAAGATCTTTGCCTCGTCGACCGCATTGATGGTCAAAGTCGCATCCTTCGATGCCTGTGTCCTGATTGAGTCAGTTCCTCCCGTTGGACAACAAAAACATGACACATCATTTGATGACAACAGCTGACAGTCAACAGTGATTACTGTACACATAAATACGACTTCTTAACGAGTCAGTCCTTTTGTTCAGCACAGAGACAGACCTGAATGAGCCGTCCGCAAACTTGTTGACAATGCGAAGGTGTTGCGGGGTCAGTGGGGTCAAACATGTGACCAAAGGATGAGCCACATCATCCTCATCATCTCCTCCACCACCATCACTCAGCTGAAAGCTATTGATGCTCAGCTTGTGATTCGTCAGAATGGAGATCTGGTGGCTGATCGCTTGAAGCAGCCGGAAAGACGCTACCCTGTCCGCTTTCCTTGTTGCTATGAGGCGTTCAAGGCCCTCACTTGCTACCTCAATCTCTCCTGGCGCGATCACATTTGTCCGAACCACCTGGTTAGCGCAATAAGCGCCCAGGTCACGCTCACAGGAGTAAACAATTGACACAGCAGCTTCGCGAGAACTGAATGTGGACGAATCTGTCACCAAATTCAGGATCTTCACCCCATCAAAAGATAGGCAAGCTCGGGCACAGTACATGGTATGGGCCTTGGACATCCAATAGTTGACAGTGAATTCGCTGCATCCCCCTTGCTTCTCACTCTTCTTCGTTTTCATAAGAACTGGCAGTGAGAGTCCAGTGGTTCTGGCCTCCTCCATCAATTCCCAAATAGCATCAATGTCTACTTTCACATTGCTTCTGGCTTCAGGTCGCTCACCTGCCGCAAGAACATTTTGGCTTGGTAGTGATCTCCTCTTCTTTCTGGATGGGATATTGCGCTCCTCGATGTCTGGTGTGTTCTCAATGATGCTACGAACATGACTGTTCAAAGCAGCCGCAAGAATCTTTGCCAATCCAATCTGAAGTTGCTTGACACATCTATCAGACATAGGCGGAAAAGCTTTCTGGCCCTTGGCTCTTCTGACCCTGCGACAGAGTGCAGCAAAGCGCACTGCATCAATCAAAGATGCATTGTCAAAGGATCCTGTCAAACCTTCCATGTCTGACCATGTTTTTTGCAAAGCGCCAATCACCTGAGAATGATGTGATGCGTGTGACAGATTGCAGCATCCAGCTGACGACAAAGGCATTGTGTCATTGTCATTCAAGTAGACATGCCCACCTCCTGCCCGATTCAAAAACTCAAGGCTTTGAACGACCAACTTGCGAAGCCATCCAGCAGCAAACTCTGATTTCGACTCACTGCGAGAGGTTTCAGCAATGGTGAACAAAAAGTGGATGAGTGGCAATGCAGTACAGGCCGAGGCATTCAGGTATGCATGCCTCAAGGGTGAAAACAGGCTAATTAGTGGGAGGAGTTGCAATCAAACCTTCACAAAATCATTTGATTACAAACGTCATCTGTCAGACGTGTATCGGCCTGGTGTCCGCCAAATGTGGTCTGACATACAGACAGTTGCCCTCGAAAAGGCCAGCACCAACTGCTGCTTCTACTACACGCTGGAGTGACTTTGAGAAGTCTCTCAATGTTGTTTTTGCTTCCAGAGCCTCACTGAAAGAATCAAATACCCTGTCAGTGTTGAACCAGATCTCATCCAAGTGCAGGAACACCACCGTCGTGGGTACAAGTGTGGTCAGCTCCTCCACATAGTAACAAGAGACATCAGCTGGCAGTTGTGCCATAAAGACACCGCCAGGAGTTCGATGAACAGCTGACCGAAAATTGACTGACCTGTCGTATTGGTTCCAGTTTTGTCTAAGATTCATCACTGTTGTCCAAACAGCTATTAACTAGACTTTGTGTTTGTCTTTACTTCTAACAATATGCTTAAAAGGGTCAGCACTGCAAGCAAGCTCAAAGAGTCAGGCCCTCGCTCACAAAATGCAAGATTACCAACTAACATCAAACACTAACGTCAGTCAGTCACCCTTTTTTCCCCTGCGGCAACAACTCAGCTGACTTTGCTGATCGCAAAAGAAGGGCTCTGACACTCTAAGCAGAAAGACCCACTGTCCATGCCAACATCTAAGGCAAAGACGACAGTGGTGACTCCAGTCACAGAACTAGCAACCCCTCTGCCAGTCCCGCGACCAACCACTAATCGTCAGCCAAGGGCAAAGCAATCAACTGTTTATGTGAAAGCAGTGCATCAAATAGCAAAACAAACATTCACAATACATTGGATTCCAAACCATTCATGACTAGTAAGGTGGGTTTCCTGCAAGCTGGGCCCTGTTTCATTGGTCAAAATTAGAGATGGTGGCTGCATGGCATTACACGTGTCACCTGGAAACAACTGACAACACCATACCAATGAAGTGTTTTGGAAACTAATTGATGTCAAAACACTGCCATCAGCTAGTTGGTGACAACCTACAACCTCAGACCTCAAGTGGAAACAACTGACAGGTCGACACATACCTCACTACTATAGGCCCATCTCAGTGCTCGATCCCAAACTCATCAAAAGGCGCTGTCCACCTCGTTCTGGACAATCTCCGATGCTGCATCCATTGCCATCTCAGCAGGCTGAGGACCAACAGACCCATTGCCCGCCCCAGAGGCATCTCCACTGACCACACCAGACGAAGACGAAGAAGTAGTCCTTGGATGGCAAAGTATTCACAATAAGGAAGCAACTAAGTTTCAAACTACCAATAGAAGAAATAGGAAAATAAGAAAGCAATTTGAGAACACGCAACAAGAATCTGAATGGGCTGAGGTGGCTGCACTGGGGAGCAACGATAAGGACAATCCATGACTGTTTTCCTGCAAAGCTGCCTCCATTCAACCACACAGTACACATGGAACACATGGCCGCACCAAAGAGTCTCAACAGGCGCACTGGAGATGACGTCCTGGCATATGCAACACAGAGCTTCATCTTCCTCCTGACGAACAGTTGGCTCGACAGCTGCCTCCTGGTCCTGACCAACAAGTGACAAGTCAGCTGCCTCATGCGGAGTAGTTGACGCACGATCCTCTGCATCAGCTGGACTTGCAAGGGGGATCACCTCAGAAGAAGATCCCAACAATCATAACTAAGTCAAGTCAAATCTAATCAGTTAGCGTCTTTGTCCACAGCCAGCTGTTCTCAAGTGAGATCAGCCTCAGCAACCAACAACAAAGTAAGTCAGCTGTTTTGCAAAGTCACTCTCAAACTAGGTAAGTCAGTCAGCTGTTTTCCAAAGTCAAGTCAGCTGTTTTCCACAGTCCAGCTCAAAGTCAGATGTTCAAAGCTGTTTCAGACTGATTGAATGTTTCAAGCCAAGAATCCGCGCTCGAAAACACAGGGACAGGCGGCGGGGGAGAACTCTTCGCTGCCACATGCAATGGAGGAGAACTCTTCGCTGCTGCCACAGGTGGCGGCGGGGCACTCTTCGCAGCCGGGACACTCTTCGGGTTTGGCGGGAATGGGACATTGACAACAGCTGGAGATCTGACACTCATTGCAGGCGACGCCACTGGCCGCGAAACAGCGCCAGGCATGGGACCGGCTTTGGCCATCATCTGGGCAATGTCTCCATTGGGGCCTGCCTTAGCTTTCGCCTTGGCCTTGGGAGGCGGCTTAGCCCACGAGGTCTGCCATCCCAGGGGAATAGCCACTGATTCCACTGATCGATCATCCAAGACCAAAGGGAGCCCAGACACAGACTGGTCAAAGGCTTCCCGGCCTACGCCCCGAACGATCCTGGCATGCATGGTCTTCAGCTTCATGTTCAGGTCGCAATACTTCGGCACTCCTAAGTATTGTGCACACCAGGCCGCCAATAAAACATATCAAAACTGGGCTATTGCTTAGTAAACCGGGTTCGCACTGACACTGGCTGCTGCTGCGGCTCTGAGGTCCGATATCTTCACCGTCGGAACGATGCGAGTATAGATCCAGATTAGGCATAGCAAACCATAGGATGTCAATTGCGATGTCAAAGTGGCGTCAAAGGTGCCATCGATTTGTTCGATCAGCTCGCTGAGCTTATTGCGAGGGATCTGCTTCAGATACGTCACACTTCGCGAAATCCACTGGTTCCCTGACCCACCCACCTGGTGGTAATCCTCTTCCGCCCCAGGCATCCTGGGCGCTGGTCCACCACCACCACCAAGCAATGATGCATCAGGACTGTGAGCAGGCACACCAGCAGTAGGGGCGTGAGATGCAGAATCTGACGCCGCAACCTGTTCATCCTCAGACTCAGGCTCCCCCATGGACATCTGGTTCATAGCCGCCATCGGGTTCATGCCAAACATACCGGCCAAGAACGGGTTGACGCCTGCCATCATAGGATTCATCATTCCCTGAGGGGGCATCATGCTGTTCCTGGACCTCTTCGCAGCACGCCCAAGCACAGATCCATTGGATGCCATGACAACAACTGATCGCAAGGGAAAGGATTGACCTGCACCTGACTCTGAGATCCACACTTGCCTGCAACAACGACACAAAGACTCCACAGCAGTGCTACTCACAGAAGTGTTACGTTCAGCTTTTGACATGTTTTACAATGTTTTTTCATTTTTTTTCATTTTTGGTCATTTTTCTGCAGAATTTTTACTTTTTCTGCAGAAATATGCAGTTTTGAGATTTTTTGAGATTTTTTGAGATTTTCTTCCAGCCAACCAGTTTTTTAATTATAAACCCTAGTTCACCAAACCTCCAGTTGTGTTTCAGCTGAGATTTTTTGAGATTTTTTGAGATTTTTTGAGATGTTTTTGAATATATTTTTGCAATTATTGGCAATTATTGTTTTTGTTCTACGCTTTCTGTTCTACGCTTTTTATCTTTGAGGTTACAACTGACAGGTCGACGCATACCTCACTACCATCTCAGTGCTCGATGTCAATTATTGTGCTTGTTCTACGCTTTTGATTTTTGAGGTTTCACTGCCCAGCAGTTGTCTTTACAGTGGCTGCCTAGCGCAAGACTACTTCATCTGAACATACCTGACACATCTGACTGACTGCAATGAGCTCCATGAATGACTGAACTGCAATGTGCTTCATTACATGTCTGAAATGTAATCTGTAAGTTCCATCAATCCTGCGAAATGTACAAAACAAACAATGTGACTAACACATTGGATTCTGAGCAAACTGGATTCTGAGCAATCCTTTTTAAGGCTTTGGCGAAGACATCCCAGACCAGTGATTAGATGCACAAACGAATTTAAAAACAGCGACAGACACCTGTCACAGAAAGTCATGAACTATTTTCAGGATCACTCGGGCACATTTTGCCTTCGCTTCCCAACTCCTTTTGGAATCAGATATCATGTCGTCCGCCGGTAGAATCGTGTCCATCAACACATCCATACCAGGCTGAGTCAGCCACGGGTGCTGCTTCTTGAAGCTCTCCACAATGAAAAAGCGCTTCCAAGCGCCCTCCAAGTCACAATGGCACACTTTTGATGGGTCAACTCCAACTCCATTGCTGGCTCAGTGACGGAAACAGCTGGCTGACGGAAAGAGCTGCAGGTATGTAGCAGGGAACAACTGACAGTCCTGTCCTCAACTTCCACAATTCAATCAACTATATACCTATGAACCAATGATTCACACCCGATCAACAGCTGACATAAGTTAGTCGAAGTCACACTTGAAACAGCTGACGGAAGTTGACCTTTGGACAGTTCCAGCTTGACTCTGCAATTGCCTTTGATCAGCTCTTGAGGTCATGGCAACACCCCAGAGCATTGTAGATTGTGACCTCCAGTGACTCATTTATGTAACTTCTCTAGATCTTATTTATGCCACTTTTCTGATGATGACTGGAAACCTGAGGCAAAGCTTTTGAGTCAGCCGCAGAAGTAGGACCAGATGACAAAGGCCCACTCGACCTGGGCATTGTCATCAGCGCCGCAATCCAAAATGTGTTGAACTGATCTCTTCCATAAACACGTGAACAGTGAAGACACAACTGAGACTATTCTTGCCTGACAGGTTAGACAACACACACTTTAATTCCAAACACATTCCTACACCACTGCTCCCACAGCTGATGAATCAATGTTGCCACCTGCGCAAAGCACCAGACAGACAGGCTCCTGGCTTCCATGTCCAAAGTCCTTCGCAAAGGTCAACCGCAGATTGATTGTCATCAGTTAAGCGCAATCACATCAAGGCCCATGCACTCATGCAACAAAGACTGCCAGACTGTTTTTGAGCCCTGATTGCATCTGTGTCGGCTAGTCGACCATCATGGCAAAACGAATGCCAAGCTCACATTGCCTTGGCATTGGAACTGCAACTGCGAATGAAACCAACACTGACCAGAGACAGCATTCAGTCAAAAGCCTGTTGGGTTTACATTACAGGAAAGCTCAGTGAGCAACTCACACCTCCTCGTCCTCCTCCTTCTGCACGCCCTCAATGACACCAAATGAGGCATTGCGTCGTACCTGAACGATGTGCAAAAAATACAAGCTAGGTTCCCTATGAAGTACACTGATGCAATCTTACTCATTAGGACTCCACCACACCTGCCTTGCAAGGCTTCAAAACAACACCAGAGACGCAGAAGTGCAAGATTCCATTGCCTAAATAGAGTCCCACTGACAGTGACACATCAGGGAACAGCTGCAAATGATGATCATCTAGTCGACATTTTACACAATTAACGAAGCTACGCACCATGTACAGATCATGGCCATCACCATATGGCACCCCAGCATAGTTCTTCCCAGCAATGGGAACACGGACTTCGATCTTACATTCCTGCAGAGCAAGATACAATTGACAATTGATTGGGCCCTTCACACTCACTGAATGGTTCACCGCAATCCTTGACATTAAAGATTACCTTCCCCTGTTTCTGGCCTTATTGAGAAACTCTTTCGCCTGGTGTTTGGTCATGCCTTGCGCCACACAGTGTTTGGCCCACTTCAACGCGTGCTCATCAAACGCGTCACGACAGAACCTGGCAGAGATACAGTCAGACAATGTTGATGATGATGACAATGTTAATTAATGATGAGAAACATGACACGAATCAAAGACAAGCACTACTCTCCCTCTACTTCAGCACAGGCCAAACCAATTTTCCATTTAACTCTTTAAGTGGGTCGCTTAAGCGCTGGATGGGCATCAGGTTGGTTGATCTGCGTGATGGTGTACAGGTGCCCAATGGAAAGCCTGCAGAACTGTTGATGGCCAAGGACTACCAAACACACATTGACAACAAATGAGGGACACTCGCTGAATGAAAGCACATCTTTTGCTTGACTACAACTTAGGTCCAAACTCGGCATGTGGTTCTGGAAGCGGCACTTTGAGGGATACAATCCGCAGCAATGTCTTGCTCCTTGGATTGATGATAATTGAGGGAATTAACAAAGAAGTTAGTGAGTCGGCGCCAAGTTCCCTGAGTCCAGGTGTCAACACACATTTGCCAAATTAAGTGCGACAGCAATCAAACCTCAATTCTACGAATTCCCTTCAAATCTTGTCACACTGTTACTTCAATCAAGCTTCTGCTTGAACCGTTCCGAGGGTGTCATTGTCTCCATGTACGCCCAAAGCAGCTGGTTACACAGCTCAGCTCCACGCTCATCAGGCACAGAACTCTGGGCAGCCATGATGAAATACGACTGAACAACTGACACAAAAGACAAACAGCTGACCTTGGGCCCAAAAAGACGACAACTTCATAAAGCCAGACCACAAAAGACTGACACAAAAGACTGAAAGCAGCGCTGATAAAGCCAGACCACAACAGCTCATGTCATATCATATGTCACGTTTCCAGTCCTGCTTCAACAAACCAAGTCCTGCTTCAAGTCTTTAAACATCTTTGCATTGTTTATTTACCTGTATCCCCCCCTCAGGATCAAGCGTGTCCTCCTTGCCTGTCTGTCTGATCAGATTGTCAATTGTCGCCACCGCCTGGCAGTTTGCTTGCTGGACAGAGTTTGTGATTGCGCTTGGGTTGTGGCTCTCACACTGATTACTTAGTTGGGAAACAGGTCATGACATGAATCATGTTATAAATACAAGGACTAGTGAGATTGATTTACTTTCTTTTGTGGGATGGGGCTCAGTTCATGTCTGGTCAACTGTCCAAACGTTTATCGCAGCCAAGACATCAGACACATAACATATCATAAATAAAACCATTTTTTGAATCAAGTGCTGCTACAGAGTAAGGCTGGGCGCTGGACATGGTTCAGCTGCGCAAATACTCGTGCCACCTGACCTGAGAAGACCGAAAGACAGTTTGCAAGACACACTGACCTTCGAATCTTTCTAGTGAACTGAGTTTTGCTGAGTGAACAGTGAACATCTGAAACATGCATGGAAGAATGGAGACAATGAAACAACTGACTGCATCTGTGAACACAGCTGACATCCCAACATGAACAGCTGACGTGGGCTGACATGGCCTATTGAATGCAACCTTTTTGAATAGAAATATGATACATATGAAAAAGACAATGTCAAAGCACGTTCACTTGCATTGCAGTGGAATCAGTCAGTCAAGCCATGTTTTCACTGCTGAGTTGTGGGCACTTCAGCACACCACCTGGCAAATGCCGGCAAATGCCCATGTGTCAAACATGAATCGACTTGAACAGATGGTTTGATCCACAGGTTGGACACCGCCCTGAAGCGCACTACATGAACACAGAAGAAGACCAGAACCAGAAGCCCATGAACACACTAAGTCGTTTGATTTTGTCACCCGCTGATGCTGTCACTCATCGCTCCTTCTTTTCACCTCCCAGACGAAGAGCTGCTTTGGCTCTGGTTTCGGGCCACCAGCACTTCGATGTCTGCACCTGGAGAGTCAAAGAGTCACCACTACTACTAATCCAAATGAATTGACAAGTTCAAAAGATTGACAAGTTCACAACAGCTGACAAATGACTGACACATCCCAGACTGACAACTGACAACAGCTGACTGACAAATGACTGACAACTTTGTGCATCCCAGAGGCGAACACAGTCCTCCAGCCAAAACGAGTGGGACTGGCTGGCGGCGTCCTTGAACAGGATCTTGTTCCTTGATTTGCGCAGCTGGTGACCAAAAGTTCAAGGATGTGAAACAACATCAAAACAAAACCGCCCTACTACTTTTACAATGATCTGGATGACAACAGTAAGAATGCATCCCCAAACTCCAACCACAAACCAACTCCAATTTGAGACCAGTCACAATAGCCGAGACTGCCTGCATTCTCCTTCAAAGCCAAACCTCTGGCTCATTGAAAAGAAGAGCAGCTGGGTTCTGCGGTC